TGCGTGGGAAGCGAAACTGGCGTGGAAAAGTGACGCTTCCCGCACGCTAGATCGGTGTGTAATTAGGTATTGATCTAGCGTGCGGGAAGCGTCACTTTACCACGTCAGTTTCGTTTCCCAAGAATCCTAGCCCCTTCGGACATTTCCGGGATATTACCGCACGGGTTTGGGAACAATCGGATGTTTTCAATTCTGACGATCATGTCATGAATGTATTCGTGTTGTTTTGCGAAAATGTACCCAAAAACTGACGATTGTGGAAAAAGTATAGTATGACAGTGTGACATTCGGTAAACTTTTTAAGTCGCTCGTTTATTAAATACTCGCTCCGTTCGTGTCAAATATACTCGTGACTCAAATACCGTTTACCGCACTTGTTGCATAATATACTATTACAGACGGGAGCAGAAAAGAATATTTCAGTCAGCTTAGCATATAATTTTTAAAGTTTTTCATCTTCGCAATTGTATAGTTTCCGCTTAAACTTATATATGGAGCAGAAATGAATTAAATTCGACTCTGTGGATTAATAAGTTTGTGCATTCGGAGGACCGCACGTAATTACGAATATTCCACGGTTATTGCATTGTGGCTATAAACAATAATATCCTACGGGGAATACCTCTGAACTTGCATCGACCTACCTAATCGCATTATTAGTATTTATGATCCGGAAAGCGCGTAATAAAACTCCTTCTATTATACGCGAACTTCATTTGCGAGAGGGAATTCTAGCTGCCCAGAAGTATAGGAAAGCAATATAAAGATGAAGCTAATAGCCCATATTGAATGTCAACAAAAAGTTGATAATAGAATTTTTTCCAACGGTCAGGGTTTTGTGCCCTTATCCTTTAATGTTTTTGCAAGCGATAATACAATGAGACTGAGTTATGCATCCTTCAGTTAAAATAGCTAAAGATACAACTCTGCTTTATATTCTTGAGGAGTCTTTAAGAAAAAAATTTAAAAAATATTAAAAAATATACCCACGCTTGCAATCTGAACATCTCTTCATAATTTTCGAGCTTATACTTGTCAGACAATGGAACCGAATGAGGATATATTGTTTCGTTTTTTACAGGCTGATATTCTGTCCGATGCAGATGTGGCCAATCGCCCTTCGTAACAAACATACAGAGAGTCAAAAATTGTTCATTTAAATTTAAATTTATGGTCGTAAATAAAGTAAATACCTAGAAAGCTTTACTTGCCTAATTAATGATTTCAACTCAACGGCATTATTTTTATCTTGCAAATAGCAATTTTGCTAAAGAGCTCGTTAATTTTGTTCCTATAAAACTAAATTTTTTTCGAGTTAAAAAAAATGTGGGGGGTATAGCTATAGATCGCAAATGAATAGCTTCGAAGCAAGATATTTCTTCGATTCATATCAACATTATATCTTATTTTCCAGGAACTGTTACAATGTAAAACCCACAATGCACTCTGCTTTCATATTCCTTTAAAATACGGAAAAAATGGAAATTAATTTCAAAGATTTGGTATTAAATATAACTTATTTGTAAACTGGATTATTTAAATACTTGACTGTGTTAATTTTGATTGAAAATACAATAACGTATACTCTTTGTTTAGATTGAATTTCGAAACTAATTAATCCCAATGGGCTTTATTGGAACAAATTAGAATATACGGATAATTAAATTAATCAAATAATTCGATTATTAGAATATTAGGGAGCAATGTAGTCATCAATATAATTTTAACCAGAATTTAATCCAAAACTTTGCATTTGCATAAAAAAGAATTCACCAATATTGAGATTTTCTCTTGTGCATTTTATCAAAACCCTATTATAATAATATAATATATAGTTTTCAGGATATAATTCCCGGGTATTATAATCAAAATTGATTTCGTTAATGGGTATCCATATTTAAATCGTCTTAGTTATTAATTCACGTGACAGGTTGAGATCTGTTTTAATACTGTCTGGTTTATTTATTGCTTCAGTAATTGATGCAGGAAATCTGCAATTGCTGCGCGGCACATCGTCTTTGTTCTGATCTTAATTCCACAAACACTCCCTTAAATTAACCTCTGTTTCGTTAATTCAACGGCTCTGAATAGAAAAACCATATACACCAATAATCTATGATTTCAAATTCCTCCGAAACGAACTTATTTTGTAATGATCGGCGCAATGTAAACGTAATTTTGTCACGCAATGTTGACACCTCCTAAATTTCTCCAAGTAAGTTTTCCAAGCTGCTTATATGCGGTTGGGTTCGCTTTAAAGTTTCGTCACATAAAAGCGCTGAAAGATTTACACCGATGAAACGTGAATTTGACTTCTCTTAAATGCCCGAGTTTCCCTGTTTCTGTTTTCAAAGAATCAATTTCGATTGAAAAAAAAGCTGCACGGATATTATTTCGACTATCTCACATTAGTTCCCAGAATTCTCTTAGTCTTTGCCTTTTTTCTTATGTTAGGTCGTTATCAACTGTCAAACTTCAGGTCACCAAAACGAATTGTTACTCCAAAAACAAACATACAGTGACTCACAGCTTAAATGATGCAGTCGCTATAACAAAAACTAACTGGTTTGAATATCTATTTATTTATTTGGAAAACAAACAACCTATTGAAATTAAAGAGCAAAGAGCCTTCTAAAAAAGTGTTAAATGATGCAAAAACAACTGAATATTTTCAAATACTTCTGCTAATATTTAGAACCTCCCTCATCGATCACGGCGTGTAGTTTTCTGGGTATTGATTCAACTAATTTTCTAGTATATAAATTTTTCAATTTTAATTCTTACTTAGATTTTCTCCATACTCATATTGTTCCATCGAATCTAAATAAGTTTATTTTGGTCCCACCGGCAAATCTTTATCGATATGCTCTCTAGCGAATACCAGTCTCATGCGTCTATTTCTTCGGCTAATGAAAGGCTTATTTCTGGCAGTTCGACCATGTAAATCATTCTTTGGCAGGGTTCGTCGACTTGTTTCGGGATTACACCTTTTTCCAGACTGTCTTTCCATCTCGACTCACATCTTTGAAGCACTTTGACTTTGGTAATCCAATACCTCCCTTACAGCCCATCTTTCCTCATGTTCATTGAAGATCTTATTTGGAGCTAAGCTGGACTTATTCTCGACCCTAATTTCATTACAGTAACGCTCAATAATATGCTAAACAGTTGACGGACATTTATTTACCATTTTGGCTATATCTCATTTCTGTGATGAGTAATAATTAAATTTCTCTCAGAAATCGTTTTACTAAACGAAAACGTGTGTTAAAATGTCAAACCAAACAAAAAACAATTGCAGTAATAAATAAATGCAACATCGTCTTGCTAAATTTCAAACTGATAAGTTTTGACGTCAATATCGCATATAATTTAATTAATTCTTTATTGTTAACTAAGTAAGGCATATTTAAGACAAAAAATAATTCACACTTCTTTAGAAGGCCCTTTACTAACTTACTTCCAATAAGTTGTTTTTTGCCAAATAGACCAGTTAATTTCTGTTATAGCGAATGCACCTTTAAGCTGCGAATCACTATATGTTGCTTCAGGCAAACATCAGTTCATTATGAAAGCACATATTATAAAAGACGTCTTGTATGTAATTTTTTCAATTCATAACCCAGGAAACGATGACAAATGAGAAGCGTTCATTTCAAACTAGACATATTCTTATAAACTCATTTCGAGAACAACTTTTGGGTATGTCTGGGTCGAGACTAAAAAAGAAAATTTTTACGTAAAAAGTGAGGATGTCTGGATTTGAACATACGCTCCTCCTGAAATGTCAAAGACGACAACTTCGATTTGATTGCAAATTACGGAGAGCTCCATAATTGCAACAAACTTTTATATATTTGTCTTTCCGCACAGTGCTTTGATTTAAATTTGACATTTAAAATTTGAAAATGTGGCTAAACCTTATAGAATGTTAATTTATAAACGGTCACCCGATACTGTAGTACCACTCTTTGCCCATATATTTTTTTGTGTGTAAATAATATCTAATTTCAAAGTCCACGACATAAATGCTCGGAAACTTGATCCTGTTGTAGGACTTTATCAAACAGGGGATATGACGATCGAGTTTAGTCAGCAAATGTATTTCGCGCAAAACGCGATGAAGTTTTAAGTTTCATAAAAATCTTCCTAGGCGTGAACTTGTAACGTAGATTATTTCCATCACTTTGCATTAGAGTGACGCTTGGTTAAGGAACGTGGCGATACCACTTTGAGTTCAAATTAGAAATAAGGCAATGAATTCGACATAATCTGTGGAAGAGTGTCTACTAGAATATCTTAGTTGATCCAGACGAGTTTCGCATGTTTTAACAGTTTTATTAGTTTGATGTAGTGCGGTTAACTTTGTGAGTGATTTTTTTTATTATTTTATAAAAATTTCGAAGATTGAAACGAAATCATTCACACTTATATATAAACTAAAATAAATCTAGATAAATGGTGATTAGCATCAAAACATAACTTCATATCAGGGCTTAATAATTTTACAAATTTAAAATATAAAAAAGCAATCGGATTGCATAAAATGCTTAATGCAAAATTTACCAGAGCCCTGAAGTTACGTTTTTTGAAAAATGATAATGTATTTTTGTTCGGCATATCAAGAGTGTGTAATATTATTTCCACAAATAACTTTATTTTTACAAAACAATTAAATACCCAGTCTGATATTATTATTACACTACTAATAAAGACAAAGTTTAATTTGCAAAGCAGCCAATCAAAAATAAAAATTTCACTCACTTTCTACTTTACATTTTGTTATTCAGCAGGTTATATTATATATATCCAACAAGACCTACAGAACTGGCACAATTATAAATATTAATAATAATGTACAATAAGAAAAAACGGCAATTAAATTTTGTGTATAAACGTCTAGAAAACGCTAACATCTCACTCGTAAAACCCGAATAAATCCTTTAACGTCTATATAGGACGCGTTTCAGCGTATCTAAGTTATTTTTATTTTATTTCAGGCCGAAGGACTTAATACGATCGTTGGGAATGCATTCAGGATGGCCTACGCGGCTCAGCTGCAAAAACAATCAAGTTTTCAAGATGTAATTGCATCTCAATTGGATCAAAGTCAGGCAGACAAAGTGCTTTGGGTAAGTGTTCAATTTACGCGACAGAGTCTCATCCAGTTTCGCCCTTTGGATTATTGCTTTAAGTTTCGTTCACGTCGGAAAATGCAGCACTCAAATATTCGTCCCGGTTTTCCAATGTCGAGCAAAATAAATTGATATCGATATATTGATATAGGAGCCCTAACAACTAATTGTTCGGACGATGCACAAAATAATTAAAAAACATAATTATACTTATTTTAAATTGATTTTTTTTTTGCCTTTTCGATTGAAAAATGAAATCACACAAACAAAATATCAAAAACATACCGAATTTGCTGACAAAGAAATATTCGGAGGCATTTAATTCTTTTACTTTAAATCGAACATTAATAAGAAGTAACATCACCTTGCGCGGCAATAACAGCTTTTATGCGTTTTGGCATGGAAGCTACCAAAGTCTTGCAATATTCGGGGTTGAAAGTGTTCCAAATTTCGGTGATTTTTGCCTTGAATGCTGGAACTGTACGCTGAGGATTGTTGCGCAAAGTTTTTTTCATCCGATGCCATAAAGTTTCAATAATATTCAAGTCGGAGCTACTTGATGGGCACCATAAAACTTTCATATTATGGTCCCCAAACCACTTTTTTGTTGTTTTCGCAGTATGGCAGGACGCATCGTCTTGTTGAAATATAACATTTTCATTTCCAAAAGTTCGTTCTATTGATGGAATCAAACTTCTTGATAACATTTTTTGGTATTTTTCTGCATTTACAGTACCATCAATGAACTCGTAGTTGCCAACCCCTTTACCACTCATACACTCCCATATCATAACACCCTGGGGAAATTTTACCGTGCGCTTTAGACAATCTTTGTCGCCTACACACCCATCAAATTTTGATTCGTTGCTGAAGATAACGTTACTCCACGTTTCCGTTGTCCAGGATATTTTAGATTTTGCCCAATCCAAACGTTTTTTCTTCTAAATAGACGTTAATAAAGGTTTTTCCTTTGCTTTTAACAAAAGTAGATCATAAAATATTAATAATTTTTTTATTGAAACAGGACAAATTGTAAACTTACCTTATAAAAACTCAAACCAGACTTCTGCATCCATTGCCTACAACATTCCCTGGAGACATTTAAGTTTGCCTCGTGATTCCATTGCGCTTCGTCTGCTAGTTTTACAAATTTTGACCAGGATACGACGATCTCATTCAGTGATTTTAAGGGGCAATACTCAAGTCGTTTGAAATTTTTTGCATTGATTTACCTCTGCAGTACTGAGATATGGTAATTTCTCGCACTTTTTTGTTTGTTGAAGCACCGCGCGTCATTTTCTTATCAACTATTATAAAAACTTGAAAGATACAACCCGAACTGACATCTCGGTTATCTGAGCACACTACATTTTACCATGGGTAGCATTGATTTCTTAGTCAAAAAACATTCGCGTCCGAATCTTTATTTGTCAACAAACTTGGTATATTTCTGTTATTTTGCTATGTAATTCATGTGAAATAAAAAATAATTCATTTAATTTATTTAAATTTAATTTAATTAATTTAATTAAATTGATTATTCAATCGACAAAGCAAAAAAAATTCAAATAGATATAAAAATGTCTTTTTTATCATTTTTTACATCGTCCGAACATTTAGTTGTTCGGGCTCGTACATTATATCAACTTTTAATATTTTTCATAGGATCAGGTCAATTTTAATTTGTTTATAGTTACTAGTATAAGTTGAAAAGACTTTCGTCGAGCACATAAACCACAACCGGTTTAACAATCTCTGATCAGATTTCAAATGTCTCTTTTCAAGTCAATAGAAATTTTAATGTTTTTAGTTGTATAGAAATTATAATACCCGTGCAACTCGTGACTAAACAAACTCTTGACGCTTAGAAAACGACACCACAAAGCAAAGTTTAAAACATGCATAAAATAAAACATACTCAAATACAATAAATTATAGTCTGTGTACATCTTATTAAAATGCAAAATCTGCAACAACTTTATAAAGATCAGACCCACCATTATGGATGAAACCTGTCTTAAGCGCATTCTGACTGGCATATTGAAAACTTTATCGATATTTTATAGTCGGGAAGTAGTAAAAGATTCATTACGTCCTGTAAACAAGATGAAACTAAAACTTTAAATATAACAAAACAAAAACGTTTCTGGGAATTTGTTTAAGATACGGATAGAATATATAAGCAATTTTAGCATCCACGTTTAAGTAATTACTACTAATTAGCAGGAAGTTGTTTATTAAGCTGGACTATTTTATAAGCGGATGGAATGTAGATTACAAGTCAGTGAGCAAACGACTTTTGGTATAAAACTTTTTCTCAATGCACCAATTAAATCCAATATAAATATAAAATGAAAGTATGGGAAAAAGCTTGAAATAAACTAACCAAAACTAACCAAATTATATGAGATATTATGCATTTTGTCAAATCTGGAAGTTCCTTGCCGATGTAACATAATTTTTTTTAAATAACTTCTACACCACAAACTATTTTTAAGAAAACGCTGATTTCTGTCATTATATTCTTATTGTTTTGTACAGTGTCCAATAATCAAACTAATCGCACAGCTTACAAATACAAGTGAAAAAGTAGAAATGATTTCAATAAAATGGCGCAGTATCACCCATAAGCCCCTGTTTAATTTAATCTTAAAATTAATAGAAAATTTAACTTGAAAATTGAAATGAAATATTGCTATGATGCAAATAAAATATAACAACTAAATAAATATTTTTCAATATTCAATAAAAAAAATTGAGTTCATTTTCAAATACATGTTTATTAAGGCTATTTGTGCATTTCGTATAGACGCATCTGGTGTTCGCCATTGTACGAAATCTACATACAATCAAAGTAACCTAATAATGAAATTGAAACATTAGTCCCAATGAAAGATAAATTTTTAAATAATCCTCATAGGGATTTTAGGGACTTTACTTACGCTGACATTTCAAATATGTTGGAAAAGTAATTCTAAGAACGAGGCGGATATGTTCTCTTCAGTGTAAATAAGGTAAGTTATTTTGAGCACCATAAAACTTGAAGCCAACATCAGGAAATGCTTCACTCATTCAACACCTCTGGCAAAAATTATAATGGGAGGACCAGTTGATAGTTTACAACAATAGTTAAAGCAAATCAGGTTATTTTGTTGGGATATGTCACTGTTTCCGACTTATGAGATCGAATTTCATGCCTCTGAAAACTGAAGCAACCATTTATTGTGGTACTTTTAAATCACCACCAGAAGAATCATATTCTGTCTACAGATCTCAGAAAAATCAATAATTATTTCTTAATAAGTTTTTCTACTCCCGTCTGTAAAATACTTAATTACCCACCGATCTAGCGTGCGGGGAGCGTCACAGCAGTTTCGTTTCCCACGAATCCGAGCGACTTCGGACATTTCCGGGATTTTACCGCACGGGTTTGGCAGCAATCGGATGTTTTCGGAGATATTTCCCAAGCTTTGAATTTTGACGTATGTCAATTCTGACAGTCATGTCAGTGAATGTATTCGTGTTTTGGGAAAATGTACGCAAAAACTAACGGTTGTAGAAAAAGTATAGTATGCAGCACGTTCGGTAAACTTTTTAACTCACTCGTTTATTAAACACTCGCTCCGCTCGTGTCAAATAAACTCGTGAGTCAAATGCCGTTTACCGCATTTTTTGCATAATATACTATTACGATGACTTAATGAGGGATGTTTGCCAAATGAATGCGAGAACAGTTCCGTAATTTATAAAATATCTGGATTATTGTACCGGATGTTTTTCTACCAACGGTTTCAATTATCAAATATATACCCTACTAACCACTGTGTACTCTATATATTATATTTATATTTGCCGTTGAGATAATTTACTATAGAGTATTTGAAAACATTTAAATATTTACATTTCGCGAATAATGAATACGATAAATGAATACCGTTTGGAATTTGGTAACGTGCTCCAAAATTTATGAAATTGAAGCAAAAATAATGCCTCATAATGGAATTGTGCTGCACATCTTGAAACGTCAACTATTGACTCTTCTTAGATATGACTATAAGAAAAAGTAACTTGAATGCTTTAAGTAAGCGCTTAATATAATAATAAATTAATGTAAAATGGAGGATTGCAAATTCAGATGCATGTAATGCATACATCAAAGCATAGAGATTTAAGTTAATATTCCTTCAGGCAGCCGTAAAATTGTTCCTCCTTAGTGTGGCTCCTACGTATAACCGTACTTATTTGCATTGTAGTCCATGTAAAATGAGAGAGCTATTCAAATTCACGAATATAATTAATAACAACACGGATGTTGTTGCAGGAATTCTCAAAGGTCCAAAACATCTGTTTTAGTTGGGGGTACGCTGAAAGGTCGATTTGTCTTTCTTTAAAACCGACAATAAATTTCTTTCGTTTGCGGAGGCACCAGCAAAGGAAACGGTAAATGTTAACACACATTATAGAAATTGTACAGGGAGATAAAGTGAGGTGCGGTAGAAATGTTTGCGTGTTCCATTAGGGTGATTTATTTGGGGAATTTCAAGTGTAAGTTGGAGAACGAAATTGGCGCAGTTTTTCTACTGACTAAGCAAACTGAATTCGGACCGCCGCCGCCACCGCAGAGCCACATTTTCATTTCGATTCTTGAGTTAAAGGTAAAAGTAGCCGAAGTGGCTGGTCTGTTATTTTAACGCCCATTGTTTTCCTTCCCTGGCGATTCTTTTAATTCAACCCTTGCCATAACTTCGTTATTTTATCATAAGCGGTTTCTCCAGTAATTCGATTAAATTTTGGGTGGATCTGTTTCAAAAATAATTTTAGAAACTAGTTCTTCTATATTGAAATCGAGTACTAAATATCAATAATACATAGATCAACAATAAATAGAAGCACACTAGCATTGAAAATTTAACCATTCAAAGGTAAACGCATAAATCTTATATCGATTCGAGGGTATCGACACGATTAATTGCTAATGCTTCTCGATAATAAAATGTATTAATAGCCCTTATACTTAGATCCAGGAAATAGACTGCGGAAAATACGGCGAAATTGATTTCCTTCTCAAATAATCTCAATTGATATTTCTTATTTTGTTTGTATGCTTGAATTTCAATATATTCAAAACATGAATGAAAATTAAAAAAATTACAGGCGCTATAGCCAACCTAAAAAGAAACCGAATGTTGCGAACCTTCTTTTAATATTTTTATATGAACTATTAGTCATAACTTTTAATCGTGGATAGTTGGAACACCTTTCTATAAACTAGCATCAACCCAAAGGGATATAATTCAACGAAATGCATATACTTAATATCAGAACACACATAACTATGGGTAATATTAAGACAAAAAGTCACACAAAATGTTATAATATGAGCACTCTCCCACATGCTAAGGGTTAGTTACCTCATGCATGTGTTCTAAATACCTAAACCGTTGTTTTTTGATATTTTGCTAATTTTCGCGATTTTCATTCAAACCTCCTGAAAATATAACTTTTATCACACCCCAGGCTTCTGATCTATCGTCCAACTCATTTGAAATATCATAGTCTACAGATCACTCTTCGGTTTTCATTTTTTCTTTAAACTTTTCAGTATAAAATATTTCCTTTCTTTTTCTGTTCTCTTTTCTCCTTTCTTGTTTTGATTTGTTTGAATTACACAGAATTGCCGGAAAATTTAAGGGAAATTAAAAACCACATATATAATATGTGGCTGTTTAGGGTCACCTACGTGGTATATTAGTTTTAAATATTAATCATCATTCGATGTTTTTTAACTTCAACTTTAAAATTGTTATTTATTAGTTAAATTTTTTTATCAATTTGACTCCGCCACAATTCCTTGCTTGTATGTGGCAAACACGTTGCGACAAAAGGTTTTGGTGTTTTAGATAAGTATTTAGTTAGTATCCTTAAATCATGGTAACCATACATGGTGTGCAATAGAAATAATAAAACTTGCAAAGTTCTGCGATTATTTTCTTGAATATCCGCCTTACAAAATGTTCCTAAATTACCAAGTTAATTATTATTAGTATTATATTTTTGTTTCAGAACAAGGAGTTATCGTCAGCGCTTAGGAAGGATAAATCGGACGATCAAGAATTCGAAATGGACGGTGTTCGTCTTACACAGAGTGATGCAGCTACTCTTCGTGTGGATTCTCGACTAGTACCACCTAGTACGATCCCTGGATTGAAATCACCTCACCGATATAATGTCTTAGGCCCTTCAGCTCCTGAATGGTAAGAATCTTGTATAAACCTACTCAACATTTTAATAACTGTGTTATGCCATAATCTCAATATTTGATTCTATGACCTTGACAGTAATCAAGTCAAATCCCAGTCGCAACAATCCACACCTAGCAGCGAAGAAAGCAATTCACCTACCGAGCTGAATTCATACAAGAAAATGGCCGAGAAACCTCCGCTGATCAAGAGGATAGCAATGGGATTAACCAGCAGTATAGCAGAGAGCGACGAAGACAGTTGTCCATTAGTGGGAGATGGAAACAACAGCAGCATACCAGGTAGCAGATGAAATTAGTTAATGTTGACTAATTCAGTTATTACTTGTTACAAATTTCTAGGTAGTCCAACTAATAGGTCCATTACAGGAGGGTATGTCAATCAAACCGAGGAAGTCAAAAATAAAACGAATGAAAACGAAAATATGAAAGACAGGATGGGAGAAAATACTAATGCGAATTTAACAAAACGCATAGAAATTGATAATAGCCTTATAAATAGGAATGACCTCAAATTCAAAAGGATATCGCAGCTTAGTTCAAGTAGTACAAGTTCGGGAACGCAAAATGACGCCATTATAGGACTAACTCCCCCACCGCCAGCTCCTGAACGGACCGACTCTCTTAATAATAAAGAAGAGGGAGAACTTAGGTGAGGAATTGATAAGGTCTTGTTTCTCAATGTACTTAATCAAAAAGAATATAATTAATTAATTGGTTTTGTTTAATTTATTGAAGTAATTTAATGAACTGTAAAATATTTACAGAAAACAGATGTGCCAATAAAAACATTTGTTTTAGGTTAGCACCTTGGTATCAAGCTGGCATTCCAAGAGAAATCGCCTTAGAAATTCTCTCTCAAGAACCAATAGGATCGTTCATTGTAAGAGAAAGTACCACAAAACCGGGATGTTTCGCTTTAAGCTTGAGAGTCCCGCGCAGTTTTCAGCCATCGGGGATAGCTCACTATTTAATAGTGCGGACTAATAAAGGCTACAAAATTAAGGTATCTGGAAAAATACATTTATGTAAATTTTCACATAGTAGGAGTACCTGCATGTATAGATTAGCTTCATTCTTAAGCTAAATTTGAAAAGACACAAATTATGCTATTTGCTTCTCCTGGAAGCTCTAATTTCTTGCGTGATCATATTAAAAAGTAAAAAACTTAGGAGTGATAATGGATAGTCAATTGAGATATAGTGGCACCATTTCTAATGTATGTAAAAAGACTTATATATCCCTCAAAAGGCTATATGCAAATAAACATATATTGAATTTTAAAGTGCGAAAAAAACTCTATCAGGTGTCCTCTCTAAAGTTATATACTGTCTTCCATTACACTATCTATTTTTAACCGTTGGTGATAAATACAGATTACAAGATATGCAAAATAGCTGTGCTCGATTCGTTTATGGTTTGAGGAAGTTTGATCGTATATCAGAAAAAATATTTGCGATGACTCAAAACAAAATACCTGTTTCAATTTTTACTCGCAATTGTCGTATTTAAAATCATGGAATATTCTTTGCCAACGTACGTCAAATATTGTCTAGTGTTTCGGTATTAAATTCACAACGCACCTCTAAGGACGAAAAACATTCTGGATATGCGCTAGCATAATTCTTGTAAATTTGAACACTGCTTCAGCTTAAGCTTCATAATATTTGTAATAAATATTTTGCAGTTTTAATATTTAGGAAAAAATTTACGTTCCATTTATTTATTATTATAGCTTGTTGTTTCATTATTATAATAATATTCGCTTAATGTTGAGTAGGTGAGATCAACATCTTAAGCTAGACTTCGCCGTTTGTGATGTGTAACTATATTAGTTTGCATTAAGTAATTTTGTCTAAACCTTGTGCAATAGTTTAAAATAACTCAATAAAGACTATTATTATTATTATTATTATTATTATTATTATCATTATTATTATATTTAGTGAAAAATAAAGTTCATTGATTGGCAAACGACATCAAATGCGAAAATTTGTATATTTCTAGCGGAAACCCGGAATTTGAGGAGTACTATAAAACTGTTCTTAACGCGTCAGATGATAAGGTAGAATTTACGTTGTCGCATTGCAATTTACAAATTAAATATTAATAATATGAAATAATCTCTATTTTTGACTCACCATGTAAAAGTGAAACTATACTCGGTTTGTAGATTTTTATATATAATAGCAGTAACACAGTAACTACAGTAATTACTGGTGAGTGGTGAATTAAGTATAGGTGAGTCAATTATAGGAGAATTTTCAACCTAAAAATAAATACATTTCAAAAGTATCTGGTTTTTTCAATAATTAATACAATTACTACATCTTGAAAATTTTTGGCAATATCTTAATCTTTACGTCCAGTGATGTGCAGATATTATGGTCAACGTATAGAAGATTTGTTTTCGGTACCGAACATGGTAGATCATTTTTAATTCTTCTTACGTCTTTTCAACATTATGCAATGTAAAATTGTGGGATATGGACCTAGTTGTGGACTTCTCTTATAAATAGGAATTTATTAGAATGTTATTTATAAAATGCGATTGGAGTTTTTTTCCCCACAGTCTGTCAATAACTGGCTTAAATCATAGATAAGCCATCCACTTAACACCAAATTTTACAAAAGGAAGAAAAAACTATTTAAACTTGTAAAAAACTTTTTAATACATATTTAAATAATTTGTTTTTCATTTTCATATGTGTCACTTTCCAAATAACCGACTAGTTATAAAATCGTCAGTATGCTCGTAGGATATTTCTTTTATTTAAATATGTTTTTTCAGCTCATCCTCTGAATATTCGCGATAGGAAAAACAAACTGTAGGCATATAATAATAACCGTTTTATTTTAATTTATATAATATAATGAATTTTCTTAGCCAAGTCTTGAATTCACTTTACTAGCATGTGTTTAAACGCCGATATTTTTTTAGGGCTTCACGAAAGAATTTACAACCCTGGCTTCCCTGATAACTCATCATTCGGTTATGCCGGAACTTTTACCTTGCCCTCTGTCACTGAGTCGTTATCATCCCAAGTTTTTAAGGACCGATTCCAAGAGAGATTTTGCGGATATTGACTTGGATCCAGAATACAACGCATTGGCAGACTTCAGGAAAATGATGGCGGATCTGAACGTTTAAATGGCGTATTCTGAAAAAAACTGATTTAAGCAGTGAAGAAACGATTTCGTTCGATTGCAGTGCCCAAGTGTGAAAAACTTTTATTTGTGAAATGTACTTGTGAGAAGTCAACAAACTAGTCCGAAATTTGTAAACGTTTAAATGAAAGACGCAAATTTGTGTTCAAATGTGATACTAAAGCATATTATTATTGAGGGACTGGAACAAGATAATATACAATATTTGTTGTACTTTAAACGTCCTCGTTAAAAAGTTGTTATGTAATTAGGTTTATTCATATTTATACACAAGAGCTGTTTTGAAAGTTTTTTTTAATTCAATTGCTTATGGTAATAATATTTTAATAAATGCAATGTTAGACGAGGTTTTTACCAGTTTACAATTTTTTGTAATACAATAAATTTATAAACTAGATACGAAATATCTGCGCCCCCTCATATAGAGCGGCCCTGAAACAATCCTGCAAAATCCTAATGAAATATAATATATCCATTCACTGCCGATGGATCGCCCGTTTTTTGTTGTTTCGTTATAACCCCGCCTTTTTCACTATACAATTGTTTCCCGCCCTAGAGTATAACAATAAACATTTGCAATTTTTTTCGCCTAATTGATTATTATTTTTCCTTTTCAACCTAAAATAAGAATTTCAACGAATATGTGATTAAATTTGTTGGGAAATTGCGAGGTAACTTAAGTGCAAGAAGTATTTTGACACTTGTCAATTTAGACAGTCACACATCTACACTTTGATAAACTCAAACCAAATCAAACTCGTGGCAAAAATGGCGATGAGCAAACTTCCATAATATACCAATTTTTATATATCGCCCACTGATGCAATAATGGCACATAAAAAAAATAGCAGTTTTTAGTTAATTGTACCATAAAAAATCGCACTTTTTTATTTTAAGAACGAGAAAATACTGGCTGGAGTGAGTTAGTGCCACTATTGAATTTCCCGCGATTTTTAACGATCTTACGCGCAAAACCGGCACGTAACCTAGTGTGTCTGTGATTGGCGCAGACTACGTAATGTTGGCAAGAAGACGGGAACTCCTTATAAAGTCGTAGAAATGAGTTACGATGCTTTTTTCATTTTAAAAAACTAGTAACTCAAACTTCTTTTAACTTTCATAGTTCTAGCGATATATTGCCAAAATAAATGAGGCGTTTGTTTTCAAAATAGAAAAAGATGCTCCTGACATATTTTTCTATAAAACATCTTTTAGTGAAAAGAAAAATACGAGCAGGCGCGACTTTTACAATGACTTTTGAAAATGTGTGTCACTTTTATAATAGCCTTAAAGGTGACAAAGACTGAACTGTCGCGGTTTTTTAGTTACTTTGAAAATAGTACTTTTTGTTTATTTTCCAAAAATCAGGTCAGTTGGTCGTTGCTTTTATTGTAGAATAGCTTAGCCTTTGTTTACGTGCCATGATAATTCCTTTGTCTTATAATTTTAACAACAGCAGCTCTCTACCAAAAAGTATAGATCCGTTGTTTGTTTATGTTTACATGTTAAAAGACTACTTGTCTGATAGTTGTTTCTTTTATTTTAGAAATAATAATTAATGAGACATGTATCAAAAACTATAGGTCGATTATTTTTCAGTTATAGCATTTCGATGTTTTTTGTAGTTATTGTTTACGTGCCAAAATTTATAAAGGCACATTTTTTAATGTTTTATTAATTTCGAGTTTGGGTTTTTTATAAGTTATACTATGTACCTATCTCGCCAAGAAAATGCTGTATTATATTTTTATAATAAAATGATGTTAAAACTTTGATCCACTTTTTTATAGAAATTTTTTTATCGAATTATTGCACTTTATTTGTGAAATTGATGGATGCAAATAAAAATCAATAACGGCACAAAATTTAAAACTGTTAAAAAAGAACCTCAAAAAATATTTTTTGTTTTATAAAGAAAATAATACAAATCACTATATAATTATAAAGACATCACTAGAGTAGGAGAGTTGATATGACTTATCTCAATATTTCAGTTTTTATTTTCCTAAATCACTGATTTTCTGGAAACTATTATTTTGTGTATATGCCACTATTGCACCCACTGGGCGATATATGATAGTTACAACTCATTGGAAATTCATATTTAATATTGTTTTAATGATTTTCTGTACAGAAGGAATCAATTGCTAATCCTTTCTTTTAAAACCACACAGGTTCAGACTATCAGTAATTAGGTCAAGTGATGCCCAATAATTTTACTTATCCACACGTGTAAGTAAAAGATGTAAAAAGCAATATTCTGGAACACTGTTTTTGAAAGCGCTTTAGGATACTCTTTCTCGTTGGATATTATTAAATTGGAATTTGTATATTTAAGTTACAGTACTTATATCATATGAGTTAACTGATGAAAAATCACTAAACAATTGGAAGTTTCTAATGAGGACAAACAGCATTTCAAGTATTGCGTTACAACTCAAGACAGACTATAACTTCAAAGGCGCTTCACAAAACCCGGCGACAACAAGCGGGGGTCTCATACAGCGTTTATGTAGTGCGTATAGCTAAAAAAATCTAAGATTTTAATTTGCAAACGATCGTCTGTCACCATTTCAAAACGAAAAGTGTTCCGGTTCTTGTCTTTGTTAATGTTAGGTGTTACTAATTAGAACGTTGAGTTCCACAGCACCCAAAATTTGATTCATCACACTTTATGAGGAGTTTATTCACGGACAACGCATTTTAACGTTATTACGTTATTATTTTTACGTTTCGATATTTGTTACACCTACCTACAGTTCCAGGTGTATATTGGCTTGACTCTTGTTATGACTCTAAAGTTATCGGATACCAGTCAAAACAAATTGCGGCCGAGTGTCGCCATGACTAGAACAGCTTCTCATTAAATCTTACCATCAACAAATAGAGTTAGGTTCGTGTAAGTTGTATATATGCTCATAGTATGTTATTTTATTTATTTGTAATTAATCTTTAACTTTACAGACCCCCATTGAAAATCGCCTTGTTTGTAATTACGGGTTACCATGGCAATTCTATATTACAACTTTGATGTTAAACCAGTGCATTCAATAAAGTATCGACACAACTCCCCAGGGAGTTGACCTGCTGCTATTTGTCTTGGAGAATTTGTGTGTACAATAAAATAAATATGGGCCCGGAAAACACAGTAAGTTCGTTTTTGTATCATGTAGGCTACAGCCCAATTTTAAATTAAAACTTTGTCGCTGTAACTATTGAACTATTTTTTGTTTCTTTCTAACAATCGTTAGACATATACCAAACGCATAACAGTAATAGGCATTAATTACCTCTTTTATATTTTAGGTATCCAGAAAAAAATTCGATCCCGGGATTTTCAGGCGTATATAAAACTTACGAATCAATGATATAGGCATATAAAGTTCTACCAGTTGGTGCCCTTATAGATTCCGTCCCATTTTTAATAGATATAGACTATACTAACATAGGTTAAATGTCAGCACCGCAATTTTTAATGTATTCTTGTAATTGTTTCTAGGTATATAGAGCACAGGAATGACTCACGAAAAGTCACTAAGTTAGATTTTAGCAAGTGCTACTTTCATGTTTGTACTATTGCTAAGAGTAATGTTTTTCCTTACATATACATAGGTACATATACAATTAAATATATGTCGTTTCCCCATAATGTGGTATAGATCACAACTTACACCTCCAGATATTTTTCATGGCCACTAATATTACTTGTATTTAATATATGTACCTAAATTGAAATTATATACCTAGCATAATGCCCACTATATGACAAATTGAGGCTTCATATTCCAATATACCTATATATTTTATAAATACATGAAACACTACACATATTGTAATAGCAATGTACTATTTTAGAACATTTAGTAGACGGTTCTAATAACTTGTACTTAGTATGTATAAATATTGAAATGCAAAATAAAGGAAAAAAACAGAAATATATGCAAAATATCCTGCGAATGAAAATAATATTTTGATGGACATGTGGTGCACTTTCAAAATCATTATAGCATAAAATAAACTGTGATTGCTGCAAAAAAATGTTTGTTTGCCAGTTGATGACGCTCAAGATCTAAATATCTAGAATATCCGGTTTGTAATCCCGACGACGGGGCAATTATGAATTTGTGATATATCATCCGTTCGTTTGGAATCCTGCAGACGTTTCGCCAAGATCTCACTTCACTTCTCTTCAATGCTTGCGCTCCGAAAACACTTCGAACATTGTAATGATATCCTGGAATATATTGTCAACATTATATATATATATATATATATATATATATATATATATATATATATATATATATATATATATATATATATATATATATATATATATATATATATATATATATATATATATTCTCACGTATTGACTCACGGATGGAAAAATGTGATGACACCATATTCCGGGATATCATCCGTTCGCTCGTTGAACTCCGACTGGAATCCTGCATCCGACTGGAATCCTGCAAATCTTGCATCCGACTGGAATCCTGCAGACGTTTCGCCAAAATCTCACTTGGCATCTTCAATGCTCGCGCTCCGAAAACACTTCGAACACTATATGATGACACTATATTCCGGGATATCATCCGTTCGCTCGTTGAACTCCGACTGGAATCCTGCATCCGACTGGAATCCTGCAGACGTTTCGCCAAAATCCGGAGTGTTTTCGGAGCGCGAGCATTGAAGATGCCAAGTGAGATTTTGGCGAAACGTCTGCAGGATTCCAGTCGGAGTTCAACGAGCGAACGGATGATATCCCGGAATATAGTGTCATCACATTTTTCCATCCGTGAATCAATACGTGAGAATATATATACATATATATATATATATATATATATATATATATATATATATATATATATATATATATATATATATATATATATATATATATATATATATATATATATATATATATATATATATATATATATATATATATATATATATATAACAGAAATATATGCAAAAAACCCTCCTACCGAAAAAATTTTGAAGGAAATGTGGCGCACTTTCAGTCACAAGTCACTGATGACATGACGTAAATTGGTCGCAAATAGTAAGCCTTAGGAATAGGACACTCTATATGACATATGTCGAGAAGTGTCCGAGGAATTTAAAAATGTCTTAATATACTAAGTGTGTTACTGGTATATATAAAGAATATATTTAAAATAAAGTGGTAACTTGTTCATTAAACTTCACACATTCTGTATTCATTATATCACCATAAGTACAGGTAAATCTATTGTATTTAACTTTTTTTATGTATTATAGGTTCTGGGATAATAAACGGGCCTGCCGATGCATATAAGTATAAGCAGTACTTATACTTACTTATAAGTTACTTAAATTAATATTATAAAAAAATAATTGGAACAATAGCATAGTCGGACATTATTTATTTAAGAACAAATTCGGGAACGCGCTGACGTTGAATGGATAGAATAGTTTGGTAAAATCACGTATTCTCTGGGTAGGGAACGCGCATGGTCGCGGTTGGGTCTTTGGACGTGGACGGTTGGCCACATTGTTCAAACAATTTCATTCAACTTTTTTGCTTGTTGACAATTTTCTCTTAAGTTGACGCTTGACGTTGCATTTTCCGGCATTTATCAAAAACCTTCTTGAGCATCCGCTTTGGGGTTTGTTTTACAACTAAAAAAGATGTAATGGTTGCGTTATTTCGATATAGTGGTGGAGTATATACTTTTCAACATAAGTGAATGCCTCAAAAGTTATGTCCAGCAATACTGCAAATGGTAAAGTAAGAGGCCCTGGCCGGCCTCCTAAAAAGGCAGTATCATGTACATGGTGCAACGAAACGAAGCAGCCACTTCAATACGTATTTCCTACCACAAATGGCAAGAAAGAATTTTGTTCCAAGACTTGTTTAGCAGAATTTCGTAAAGCATATACGAAAGGTGGAGCTTGTATTCAGTGTGACAATTTAATAAGAAGCAACAGCAATCCCCCTTCTAAAGATTACTGCTCAACATATTGTATGAACAAGCATCAGAAAACTTTACAATCAAGAGTTGCAGCAGTTGCCCCAACAACTCCTTTAGAAGGCTCACCTGGACCTTTTCAATATGAGACATATCAACAGTTTGACTGGGAAGAGTATCTGCGGGAAACTAACAGTATTCCAGCACCACAACATTGTTTTAGGCAAGCTCTAAATCCACCTTTAAATGATTTTAAAATTGGAATGAAATTGGAAGCTCTAGACCCAAGGAATGTCACATCAACATGCATTGCAACAGTTATAAGTATACTGGGACCCAGATTAAGGTTAAGGTTAGATGGTAGTGATAACAAAAATGACTTTTGGAGACTAGTAGATTCTAGTGAAATTCATCCCATTGGCCATTGCGAAAAGTCTGGTGAAATGTTGCAACCTCCTTTGGGTAAGTAATAAAAAAGATATTTGTGTTTGTCTGTGGTTGTGCTTTTATATGGAAAGTACGAATTTTTGTGTTACTTCTGAGTTAGTGACTCGACAACACCTCTGTTAAACAGGTTTCCGCATGAATGCAAGTTCATGGCCTATGTTTCTACTGAAAACTTTAAATGGAGCAGAAATGGCCCCATCCAAAATATTTCAGAAGGAGCCTCCCATGCCGAGATCAAACCTTTTCCAAATTGGTCAAAAATTAGAAGCAGTTGACAAGAAAAATCCCCAACTTATTTGCTGCGCTACGGTTGGTGCTATAAAAGATGATCAGATACATGTTACATTTGATGGATGGAGAGGAGCATTTGATTATTGGTGTCGGTATGACAGCCGGGATATTTTTCCAGTTGGTTGGTGTGCAAAGTCTGGCCATCCATTGCAGCCTCCAGGACAAAAGAATACTCCTGGCGCAAATAGGTTTGTACCCTGAGTGTACTTAGTTCATTTTTACAATTCCTCTAAATTACCATGTTGTAACCGAAACAGTGATAGAGATTAGAAATTGATTAAATATTTCAAAAATGAATAAAAAGATACATATAAAGGTGTTTTCTCAACTTTTTAGATTCAGGTTTAGGCCAGCATTTAGTGTACCACCTCTTACCCCTCCAGTCAGTTCTTCTGCACCTGATATTGTGCAATCACCAGAAGCGGACACATCAGCACCTTCACCACCCCCAACTGTGATCTACATTAATAAAACATGTTCTGGAGGCAACCTTTTCGACACCAGTCAATTGCCGAGAGTAATAGAGGATGTTTCACTCACTACCTTGATAAAGAAACTTATTATTCATTTGCTTGGAATTTCCAACAAATCTGAAAAAATTCTGGCTCGGTTGGGTGCATTGCAAGGTGACGAGATGGTCATAAGTCATGAAGGAAACACATTTACAATAAAGTTGCCTCATTTTGGTTCTGTGGGTGACTTGAATGGAGTGTTTCAAACGCTAAGTCAGGCTTTAGGGTGTTGCAGTAATCTATTCAGTAAGATTTTTACCTTGAAAAGATATTTAATAGTTTAAAAACAATGTTTCTAGGCTTGGAGGAAGAAATAAAAGAGTGTTCCCAATGTGAAGAGAAAAAGTTATCTCAACCTCCTCCTGCCAAGAGGAAGCCTCCAGAACAAGAAGCTGCTACATCAACAACACCCGCGGAACCTTCAAACATTTCTGAAACGCCAATGGCAAACTTGAGCAAAATTCCCACACAAGAATGGGGCATTGAAGAAGTCATTCAGTTTATTGAAGCTACGGATCCCTGCCTAGGAGTGCATGCTGACTTGTTTAGAAAACATGTATGTATTTAGTATAAATTATATTAAATTTCAAATCGTCAGTAATATGATTTGGCTCAATGTACTCTTTAATAGTGGTTTTTATTTTTTGCAATTGTTTTAGGAAATTGACGGCAAGGCTTTCCTGTTGCTCAACTCGGATATGATGATGAAATATATGGGCCTCAAATTAGGTCCAGCACTAAAAATTTGCAACTTAGTTTCTAGGCTTAAAGGTAGAAGATTTGCATTTTAAATAGTGTCAATTCATTTTCCGTCTAGCACTGTTCCGTACTTGGTGGTATACTACAGTTTTTCTGTTTAGAGATTTAGTTAAATTTTGTTAATTATTCTGGTTTGACTGCTGGAAAATTTATCTGTAAAGTGCATTGGGGCCTAAGTAACTAAATATTTGCAAAAGTTTGCACCCTCCACGGTAAGGTAATCATTTGATTAGATCAGTCAACGATGTCAAATAGTAATTGATTCTGCATACAAAACACTGAATGGATAAAATCTGATGAATCAGTTTGCTCTTAGCATTGTTGTTATGATTTTTTTTATTTCCCCTACCAGATCAAAAATACATTTGTTTTAAATGTAGAATCTGGCGAGGTTGAAACAAAGGAAATTAAATTTCGTTATCAATCAATCGTTTTTGAAATGGGTATTTCATAATTTCAGAAGGTGAAAAAGTATTAAACAATACTTAAAATAACTTGAAAGATTACTTTATAGCAATTGTTGAAGATCTTCATGAACGGAGGTTTTCTAAGGGTAAAATATATTGAATTTCGGTTACCATTTTGGAAACTTGAGGAATATCATAATCACAGACTACTGCCTCAGAAGTTATCCACTGTTTGGAAAATACCAATCAGTGACCACATGTTCCTCTGAAATGTTGAAATTGTTAAGCTACATATTTTTAAACTGACCTACAAAAAAGGGGGTAACAGTATTGCTGGTTGTATTGGCCAATATCAGCTATAAGATAATGTAGTCAAATAATTTATCTGTTACCGAGAAGACACGGAGTTTATAGTGGAAGAGATATATTTTAAAAATTTGTTTACTAGACAGAATATTTAGGGTCCAAAAGCTTTTCACTGATTTTGACTTTTTGCAATTAAAATAACACATGTGATTTTATTTTAGCAGAGGTGATGCGCCTGTGAGTTTTTGCTATCATGAAGAATATGTTAGTAAACATATTGTATGGTGTTAATTGCAAATCATAGACGTAATAAAGGAAGTCATATTTGTTTACAGGTGTTGTTACAATGCTGAATTAATTTTTGGGCTGATTGTCTCCCAAATCATTCTCTTGGGGTAGCATGTAAATCTATTTTACTTTTCCTATCTTTTTGTCATAATGTTTTTTCAGACCTTCAGGTTTTACTATAGAGTACTGTGATATCACTATCTCAGGGAAAAATGTGTAATTCATATTTTTTCAAAAACATACTTACATTGTGCTTAACACTCATTCCTTAGACAGCATGCGGCTCCCCAATAAGTTTAACAGTTAATTAATGATATCCTCTTTGACAAAATAGAATTAATTTTTCAGAAACTTTTTCTGTTTTATTATTGTTATTGTTTTATTAATTTCTGTATTTGTTTTCGTTTTTTCTCGATTTTCAGAGTGTTGACAGATGACTCAAATAAGTATGGTTCTCAAAATCGGTTAAAATGAACACTTTTTTTTTTAATTTGGAATCTGTCATTTTTATTTATCTTGTTTAGGCAAGTGCCAAATCACAAAATCAAGAAATGGCGTGTTACCTTAGAAGTATTGTGTTAACTATAATTAGTACAGGAAAAATGTACTAAATGCCAATTTTCCTTTTTGATCATTTAATATCCATTTTGTATATTTAACATACACAAAACTGTTCTTTTGATATCTGTTAGAAACAAATGCTGTAATAAAGCAAAAGTGTAGCATACCAATTTTTATTTCTAATCATTTGTTAAAACTTTAAGTAATCTAATATATCATTTTTCTTTATAGGTTTGGTTTTTGCTTTATTCCTGAACAATAAAATTAATTTTATATATTTTTATTTCAACCCTAACAATGTGCTGCAGTCAACTGTAGAAAATTTGCATAACCAATTTTTTCTATTTGAAATAAAAAAAAATGCGCTATACAGATATAAACACATAGACAGATAAGTCACCGGTTCACTTAGAATAGGAAATTTTCAGTAACTCTATTTAAATTAATATTTCCTCTGATTCTGTTTTCATAACCGAACATTTGCCATTATCATACCCAAGCACAGAACGGCTTTATCAGAAAAGACACATAGTCTCTTTTTACCAATTATTGTAATTTACTTTTATCTTGCAGGTAGTTTTTCCTAAAATGTTTGTGATATATAACATTATATATTTTAGTTGTTACATGATCTGCAATGTTTTTTGTACAGTCTTTCTTTTACTTTTGTTTAGAGAGGGAAGGGTTTTTATTGGGCTCTGTCTATATTTGTGACATTTAATTGTAAAGGTTATATTTTTGGTAAGACTTGTAAATATAAAACCTAACAAGGTATAAGTAAAAGAAAGAGATTAGCAATAGAAAAAGAGATGTTTAGACTATCTGATGCATAACTTAGAGTTGCATATTATTGTCAAATTAAAAGCTATTGAGCAAAGCTAACAAGGATTTGTTTATTGCACCTTGGGATTTTGGATCTAGTTACCCAGTTCATCATGTATTTAACATAAATAAAACAACGTTTCCCTAAGTAAAAAATAATTTAAAATGATCAGTGACTTAAAAGCTTGTCGGAACATCTATTGTTTTGCTTGAATTCTTGTTATAATAAACAAGCAAATAAACTGCCAAAAGATTGCAGAATTTATACATACTTTTACATTTGGTAATGTTTGGTCATTTAACTATTTGTTTTTACTACATCATCTGTATTGTATATTGTGTTATTGTGTCATAATAAAAAATTTGATTGATAAGAAGTCACACCTTAGAGTCCGAGTACAATGATGTCATCCTGTCAATACGTTCAATTCAAGTTTCTACTTTCACTTACATTAACCATTGTAAGAAATAATGGGTGACGTAATTATGGTCGTTTCTAATTCTACCCGAACGAGGATTGCGAACAATTTATGAAAACAGAAATTTCGAGATTTAACTTATATTTTTATATTCAGTTTCAATGATGATCCTTGAAAATTATTTGAAAAACATGCTTTTAATACAAATGAAATAACATTAATATAATAATTTTCATCGTGTGTGACTGTTTTGCGTCAGGTAATGTATGTCTTCAGAAAAAAAAATATTTTTACGCATTTACGTACAATCTAATATTGGATTGGATCAACGCGGTAATCCATGAATTTTGTGTTTTGAAGGTTGGTGATACAATGTTCGCTCTTTATTTGATCAGAAATATGTATTATTGTAAAAACAGAATAAAAGAGCATGATATAATCATAATAAATCGTTATATGTTGGGCTACCATTCAAGATTTCCCTACCTTTTTATATTCCCAGGCTTACGTTACCCATCGCGATCTATAAATTACGTTACAGTTAACATTTATATTTCAACAGAATGTAATAAAGGCGGATAAATCTTTTATCATAATGACGTCATAGAGTTGTCAGTTACTATGTGGAGTGCGTTATTATATCGCGTTCACTCTGAAAATTTTCCCATTCTGCCACTAATAGTGCTAGGTAAATCCTTTACTTTAGCACAAATGACAAGAATCATATTTTTTAAATAATATTTTCTTTGTTTTAGTTATGACCACAGATAATACAAACATTTAATTACCGTTGAACTGTGGTGATTGTTAAAGTGTTTATGTGGGAAATATCGTTTTAAAATTGTATCAGGAATTGGAATAAAGGGCCTTAATCGGATCCTATATACGTCACTTTTCTTTACAAAAATTTGTCAAAATATTGGCAACTCCGATTGAACATTAAAGTTGACAAAATTGATGCAAAATTCTTCTTATATAATTTTGCTTTCTAAAATTATCCCTAGAGGCGCTGTGTCCTGGAGTCTCCAAGATATGTTATTCTATTTCACTGAGTTTTAACTAAATTACGTTGTGGGTTCTACATAGATTAATGAATATAATTTAAAAAATACATCAATTTATATGTATTATATATACATTTGTATTTTTTTTTACTTATGTTCGGTGCTTGCAGCAGACTGACCTGCGTTAAGTTTAACACACCGGAACAAAGAACCTTTTTGCGTTATATTTAGCCATTTAATTAAAACGTTCAACACTTATAAAAATTGCATTTACCATAAAAGTTAAAAAAAACTAACCTATAGCAACAAAAATCCACCAAAATAAACAAACACATTTTGCTCCAAACCTCACACCCAAATTTGACTGGAAAATTTTGCATAAAGAAGCAGTTAATTCGCATCTTTTTTTTTACATAATGTCTCAAACCCGGAATAAACAAGGATAAGATATTAATAACGTTGGAGTATCGACTTGATAAAATCAATTTTTGCGATGATATTATGGTGAGTGTTCCGGCGCAAAACTTGAGCGGCATAAAGCTTTCGCCCACAAATGCACACGAAAGCTTCTCAAGAATATATGCGGGAGGGAATAGACGATGGCCTTTCTAGTGGTTCTAGCGGTCTACGCTTGGAACTTAAGTATTTTTAAGGTAGCGAGTTTTTAAAGAAGAACAGGGAAGTAGGTAGAGCGACGGCTATTCTCGTTCACTTTTGGGAAAAATTATTGCATAAGGTTGCCGGGTCTTAATTATTTTGCAAACGATTGCAAATCGAAATAATGTTAACTTTTCCAAAAATATTCTTCGGATCCCTTGCTAAAGTTTGTACTAAAAAAAAAACAATATTGTTAAAGCTAACATTGCAAAAACAAATGTGGAGACTCAATCCTCTATTACTGACCGATTTGAACAATTACAATCGACTAACATTCAAATTCGGATATCCGTCATCACGAGCTTCATGATAACAATGTGACAAAATGTGATTATACTCAATTTTTAGTTGGATACAAAGCAACGGTTTTTTTATTGGTTAACCAACTCTGATGCTTCGTCTTATTTTTACAAGGATTCTTGAAAGTTCGGAGAATACTTCTTTTATTTTTTATTTTTTGGGAGTTGGGCGGGTGTGGTTGGTTTGAACTTCCAATAGCTAAGCGTCTTTTACAATTTTTACATTTAAAATAGCGGAATAAAATAATGAAACAAATAATTAATACTATTGATAAAAAAATAAATCAGGGTGTATATTTCTGAATGAATGGTTCGTTTATTAAATCATCTTCATTTTTTGAAGATTGATTATGTTTGTGTTTTGGAATTTCTAATTCATCAAAATTAATATTACTTGAATTTAATGGTCGTAAGTTAGGCAATTTTACTTTTTCTGATAAATTTTTACAACAATCATAAATAATTATTACAGCATGTGATCGACACTTCAGTTAAATCTGCTTGCAATTTTGTATTACCTATGAAAGAATTAAATTAAGGATGCAAGGTTAAAATTGTGTTTTTCTCAAATATTTCACTACGTGTTTGATGATGTTGACATTTTGGTATTTGGTATTTGGTTTTTATAATGTTCTATATTTTCGATACGAATATACAAATCTGAATCATCATTTGCGATGTATTTCTGAGGAACAAATAAAATATGATGTAATCCCGTTCGATTAACTAGAATTGGATTTTGATGTACTTTATACAACATAAATGTTTTGGTTCGATAAGAGAGATCTCCAGAAGGAAAAAAAAATTTAATAGTAATAAACTTAATATTTGAATAAGATGATACGTCTGAAACAGTTGTGTCGAATATAATTTCTTGAACTTTCTTATATTTCTTAATGACATGATTAAATCTTCTTGTGGTAATAACTGATGTGTGAATTCATTTCAACTTTGATAATGTAGTTGCGTTTAAAATATCGTATAAATTATCTTCTGTAAAAATAAAGGATTCAATTAATTGATCACATATCGCTAAAACTTGTATTGTTGCTTCAATGAATTTTAAATTGTCTGATATATCATAAATAGATTCCTCAATCTTTATTAAAAGTTTCCTCCTCAATTTGTAATTTTCTAATAGTTTCATTAAAGTTCTTAATAACTGATGTTGTTACTGATATTTGTTTATTCATAAATTCTTCAAACTGAGTTTCATCTTATTCGATTTTATTAATGCAGTAGGTGTAATATTCTCCATCTGAATTTTCTGTTATAAACTTCCATACTGATTCTAAAGCATTTATTAAACCACGTTTATTTCTTGTGTGTAGCTTGTATCTAATAAAAACATCAAATTTCTGATTTCTAAGAACTTATTTTCTAATGTATTTGATCATTGGGTTAATAACGATAAATGTGTTTGCACCTCAGCTCTAAAGGCATGCATTCGATTATTTGAAGCCGCCATTAAACTAAGAAAGCTATATTTCATTCTTATTTTTAATAAATCCTTTAATTCTTTAGTATCTTTATAAACATTTAAAACGATAACACGATCCATAGGTGCATAGTAAACCCCTACCGCGTTTTTCATTAGTTGCAAGTTGTATTGTGCTTCAATTGATCTAATAACGAAAAACATTCTGAAAGGAGAAAAATTTCATTCAGTATTATTTTCGGATAAAGGAATATCTTCATCTTCATAATGAGGTTCTAATCTATCAAAATTAACTTTACTTTTTGCTCCTATTTTTAAATTAATGGCAGTAGCTGAATTTTGAATTTATTTAATATAAGCTTTATCATCTACTTGAAATTGATATTGTTTAGAAACATGTTTATTGAATATTTTCTTTTACTTTTGTTTTTGTTGATCAGTTTTATCTCTTGCTCAATCATAATAATATTTAATTCGGGTATTTAAATCTCTTCCATATTTTGTAATTAATTCCGCGTGGTGTATTTGAGGTATGGTCAAATATTAATTGCCAGGGGGTAAAACCATATGTTTTATTAACAGAATTGTTACTAGAAATTGCACTATTTCTATTTTTTAACTACGCTAGAAAATGTTAATTTAATGTTTTTAATGTTTGATTGTTAAATTCTTTTCCACTGTCACAATGAATTAATGAGTGTGATCCCGTTATGTTGAAAATAAAGTAAAATAGCACTTGCCAATTATTTTGAACTTTTGAACTTGAATAAGCTTGCGTAAATTTTGTTAGCTCATCTCCAATTATAAGAATATAATTTTTCGTTGGAATTTCTAAAATATGAAAGATTAATATAATAATTCTTTCAAAGGGTGTTTTTGGAGTTTCAGTTGTTACTAAAGGATTTGTTAATTTTTTTAGATAAACTTTGGTATTTTGACAAATTTCACATTTTCTAATGAAGTCTTCAACATCTTTAGTAATTCCTCGCACAATGAAATATAGCTTTTTGAGAATAGATAACCTTATATTGTTTTCAACATAATACGTTTTACGTAATTAAATGAGAGAACAATAATATAATAGTCGCGTTTCTTAACCGATTTATAAGATATTTATTTTCGCTCGAAAATTCTTCAAATTAATCATCGATTATTTTGAAATGTAACTTGAATGAAAAATAGTATTAATGGTTTAATGTTCTTTATTTAATAAGTTTCTTTTGAAAATTCTATTTTTGAATAATCT